CTTCCACCCCAAATTAAGAAAGAAATCTTCCAGCTGGGTGTGGTGGCTCATGCCTGTAATCCCAGCATTTTGGGGAGACCAAGGTTGGGTGCATCACTTGAGTCCAGGAGTTTAAGACTAGCCTGAGCAACATGGTGAAACCCCATTTCTACCAAAAAAAAACAGTTACGCCGGGCACGCTGGCTCACGCCTGTAATCCCAGCACTTTGAGCGGCTGAGGCAGGCAGATCATGAGGCCAGGAAATCGAGACCATCCTGGCTAACACAGTGAAACCCCATCTCTACTAAAAATACAAAAAAAATTAGCCGAGCATGGTGGCGGGCGCCTGTAGTCCCAGCTACTCAGGAGGCTGAGGCAGGAGAATAGTGTGAACCTGGGAGGCAGAGGTAGCAGTGAGCCGAGATCGCACTGCAGCACTCCAGCCTGGGCGACAGAGCGAGACTCTGTCTCAAAAAAAAAAAAAAAAGGTCAGATGTAGTGGTGGGTGCCTGTAGGCTGAGCTACTGAGAGGCTGAGGCTGGAAGATCTCTTGAGCCCAGGAGGTGGAGGCTGCACTGAGCTATAATGGTGCCACTGCACTCCAGCCTGGACAGTAGAGCAAGACACTGTCTCAAAAAAAGGAAAGAAATCTTCCCCTTAGAGTCTAACATATTAGCTAAAAGTGTAACTTTTTTCTTTTTTTAAAAAAAAAAAAAAAACTTTGTTTTATTAAAGTTACTAAGCACAGTGTCCTGTGGCTCTAGCCAATTGGAGACAGTTGAAATCTGAAACAAGCCATATCTAGGTATAACTGACAGTTGGCTCATGATTTATGGTAAAATTGCAGATCATCGTAGCTGAGTGCCACCATTTTGGGTGAAATACAAACCCCAGACTGTCTTTAGACTCTTAAGGGCTTGACTCCCAAGACGGGACTCAAGGACAAAGGGTCTTGATTCCACTTGTCAATCAGGAGAGTGATCAGAACAGAGGGAGGGATCGGAAGAAAAGCTCCGGGGTGGCTGTCTTAGGAGGGTGAGGATGCAGCGTTTATTTCCTTGGGACTCTAAGGCTCCCTCTTCCTCTCCAAGAAGAATTCTGAATGGCAGGCTGGGAAGATTCTATCTGCACTGTCCTCCAGACCCAGCCGATCTGTATCAGAAACCTGGGCTTGTGCTCCTATGCAGGTGCCTCAGGAGGGAGTTCTGAAATAGGATTTATTCAGGAGCACTGGGATTTATCACAGAAGCTTAGTGATAAAAATCAGGCAGTGGCCTACATGCTCTCAGCCTCAGCAGTGCCACAGGGGGCCAGAGCTCTTCTACCCAAAAGAGAGCCTCGCTTGTCCATCCTGTTTTATCAGGGGAGAGTCTGAGGAAAAAAAGAGGGTTAGTGCTTAGTCTTTTTTTTTTTTTTTTTTTTTTTTTTTAAGGCGGACTCTCCCTCTGTCACCCAGGCTGGAGTGCAGTGGTGTGGTTTCGGCTCACTGCAACCTCTGCCTCCCAGGTTCAAGCGATTCTCCTGCCACAGCCTCCCAAGTAGCTGGGACTACAGGCGCGTGCCACCACTCTCCCCTGATTTTTTGTATTTTTAGTAGAGATGGGGTTTCACTGTGTTAGCCAGGATAATCTCGATCTCCTGACTTCGTGATCCGCCTGCCTTAGCCTCCCAAAGTGCTGGGATTACAGGCGTGAGCCACCGAGTGTCTAGTCTTTAATGCTGTGAAATTGCCACTTCTATCCACGTGGAATTCCGGAGAGGGGTGCTGGCTAGAACAGTGCTCATAGCAGAGACGTGAGGCCCTGACAAGGAGGGCCAGGGCTGCCACACTCCTCACTGTGTCTGCAGCGTGCAGCACGGTCCTGACTGGTGTGGGTGCCCTGTATGGGGCAGGGACACCTTCAGGATGTCTTTTCTGTGGATTTCCTCCAGAAGGACCATTGAATGGCCCGATGTGTGCATTTGTCCCAGTTCACCGCCAACTAGCCATAACATTGAACAAGGTACTTTCTCAGGGACCTCAGTTTCTGTGCTACAGAGGTTGGAATGGATGATTCCTAAGGTACCTCCTTGTGCCATGGAAGGCCGTAAGTGTCCCTGGGGGACTGATGGTGTAACTGCATCGAGGAGATGCAGCAGAGGCTGGGGTGAGGCTGAGTGGTGGTTGTGCAGTCCTGTTGGTTGTGATTAATAACGGACCAGAGTCAGGACCCCTGAAAGAAACAGTGTGGGTGTCTCCCAGTGTGCACCACTTCTTTATGAAACTTCTCAACTTTTAGAACTCTCTACCTGTCATTTTTCAGTTTTCCTGTGTCCTAATCATGACCGTTTACTTTGGGCTACATCCTTTACATACTTGAACTCATTCAGTCCTTGACAAAGCAGCCCATTTACAGATGAGCTGCCTAGACGCAGGGATACTCAGGAACCTGCCGACCTCACTTAGCTAAGAGGTGTAGGCCCACGGCTCTCCTGCTGCGCAATTTTCTTTCTTTTTTCTTTCTTTCTTTTTTTTTGACACGGGTTTTACTCTGTCACCCAGAGTGGAGTATGGAGTGCAGTGGCACGATCACTCCCGAGTAGCTGGGACTACAGGCTCGCACCACCATGCCTGGCTAATTTTTGTATCTTTTGTAGAGATGGGATCTCGCTTTATTGCCCGGGCTAGTCTCAAATTCCTGGGCTCAAGTGATCCTGCCACCAGTTTTCTGGATCACTTCCCTTAATTTGTTGGGGGGTCTTTGTTCGTTTGTTTTTTAATCTTTTTTCCTAGGCCTGCCGCTGGCTCCAAAATGAAGAGGCTTGCCAGCTCCCAGTCTAGAGAGTTGATAGAATCTATCTTGATATTCACATGGAGGCCTTCAAACTGCCCACCCAACCCTCTTGAGTTACGGAAGCCCTTCATGTTGACTCGCTTAGTGATTATGTTGAGGGTAGTAAGTTCCCCCTTGTGAAGTGTTCACAAAGAGACTAGATGACCTCGTCTTGGGGTTTTGATAGAGAATTCTTACATGTTAACCCCGGAGAGAGACAGCTTCCTCAGGATTCCTTCTAGACGATTCTATGGTGTGCTTGGACACTTCGCAACTGTTGATATGCATGATGGGAACTTGACCTTTGTTACCTCTCCTCTCTTCACACCTTGCTCAGAACACCTGGCCAGGCAGCAGCAAGGAGGCTGCTTCTGCTGAAAACATACTTGAGTATCTTAATGTCCAAGTGTCAGAGTTGGAAAGAAGCTTGTGAGACCTTTTAGTCCAACCCATCACTTGGCATCTGAGGCCTAGAGAATGTAGGAGAATTGAATAGTGTCATCCGCATTGCAGACAGAGCCAGTCTCCGGGGACTCTATTCTAAGAATCTTTCATCCACCAAACCAAGGGAATGTGTTATCTAATTACTTACTCATTCTATCTGCCTTTGTTTCATTGTTGATCTGAAGTTTAACCAGTAAACTTAGATCAGTGTCTAGCACAGAGTAGGCATTCAGTGCACCTTTAGTGAAGGAAATTGCTAACTTCAGAACCCTTGAGGTTCACAAACAATTGTGTGTGGGGAAATCACTGATTTCTGTCTCGGCTGTGACATTAATAACCTAGTAAGTAAACCTGCAAACTGTCCGTTGCTTAGCCCTCATGGAACTGCCATCTTCCTGCAGGCCACGGATTGTGTTCCTTCCAGTTGCTGCTCTGGGTGTCATCAGATCGGCATGAAAAAATCCAGAGTGGTCATTATTAATATTTCATCCCAAAGCAAAGAAATTGGCCATATGGTTAGGCTCTGAAGCCGTGTCTAGGAAAATAAATGTGCTTTCATTAGACTGCTTGCATTTTGGGGACTTGCTAATCCCCTCACAATATCAGGGACCACCATCCCTCTCCTTCCTTCTCCTTCCTTCTGCCCAGCTCGGCTGCTGTCAACTCCTGGAGGACCCCAGGGAACAGAGCCCCTCCTATAGTCAGCCCTCTCTTTCCTGCGTGCTGAGCTGGCAGTTGGTGTGTTTGGGGTTTGCCACGGTGTTCCCACTCTGCTTCTTGTGAGCCTCAGCCCTCTCGGGGCCACACCTTAGACCCTCGGCCCTGCAGCCAGCCAGGAAAGATGGGCACCCACTTGGTGGGTTTTTTCAATCCACTTAGTCTTTTTTCAGTCCCACAAACTGAAAGGCTGCTTTGTGGGTCACTGAGGAGAGGGGTTAAGGTCAGCAGCACTCATGAAGCAGGCATCACGGGTGGTCTGTCCTGGGGCAACAGCCCGGTCCTCCCACCGTGGTGTCTGCTGGCAGGTGGGGGTGTGGGATCTGCATATGGCAAAAACCCAACCTCCGGGGCTTGCCCAGGGTGGCCCCTCAGTTTTCCAGCACAGCTCCCATGTCTGCCTGCACTCACAGTGCCTCTCGGTTCCTGTCTTGTATAACCCAAGTGTGAATTGTGTTTGTCATTTCGGGCCTACCAAGCATGGAATTTGGGAGAAGAGACAGCAAGATCAGAGGGGGACCATCCTCCCCGAGGCCTGGCCCAGGAACCCAGGCCAGCCTTGGGGCTAGGCAGGGCCCGACTGGACATTTGTCCATCTCAATTGAGGACATCTGCAAGACTTCTCCAGGCTCTGCAGACAGGCTGCCATGCCCAGCGCTTGTGGACTTGGGATCTGAAACTTCTCAGGCTCTGCCCACTCAGACCCAGCCATCTCCAAACCCTTCTCATATCCACCACGTGCACGCAGTTGTTCAGTGCATGGAGGCCCTCCACCCTCCCCCACCTCACCAGGCAGCTGCCTGCCATGCTCAGACCCCTCTGCCCAGCCTTGTGGATGGCCTCCTCGTTAACGCCATCAGGCTGATGAAGGAAAGAGGCGCTCAGAGAAATGGGAAGGAACGGTGTGCAGCCCAGGCCTCAGTGGCCAGCAGCAGGCTTCGAGCTTGTTCCATGGCCACCAGGAACAGGCGGCCTCCCCTCTGTCGCATGGGGTCTCAGCACTGCATGAAGCTGCAGGCTCATCCTTGTCATTGCTTGCATTTTAGGAAGATGATGAGAAGCTTATTGAGGAAATTCAGAAGGAGGCTGAAGAGGAACAGAAAAGAAAGAATGGAGGCAAGTGCCCCTCCCCAGGCCCCCAGGACAGAGCAGCAGCCCCGCCCTGCAGCACAGCACTGCCGAGGGAGCAGAGGACCACAGGCCATGTGGGCTCCTGCTGGCCTCCCTGGGTGTCCTGGCACTCAACCCAGCACGGGAGAGGAGGGGGTGCTGTCCCTCAGGTGGCAATAGACCTGACTCCACCCACGCAGCCACATCTCAGGCCTATGGAAAGGCCCTCAAAGCCTTCAGTATAGTTTTGGCATCTCCTTGATGGTGAGGAAGTCCCAAGGGATGGGTTTGCTCTCTGGAATCAAACAAGCCACATCTGGCTAAAGAAAAAGTAGGCCCAGCTGACGCTTCCGAGGCTAAAAAGCAGTGAAGCCAGACGTGTTGGCACACGTCTGTGATCCCAGCTCCTCAGGAGGCAGAGATGGGAGGATCACTTGAGCCTAGGTGTTTGGGGCTAGCCTGGGCAAAATAGCAAGACCCCATCTGTTTTTCCTTTACAAAAAAAAAAAAAAGGGCTAAGTGCAGTGGCTCACAACTGCAATCCCAGCACTCCGGGAAGGTGAGGCAGGTGGATCACTTGAGCCCAGGAGTTTGCGACCAGCCTGGGCAACATGGCAAAACCCCATCTATTTAGAAAAAAAAGAAAAAAAATGAAAATGTAACTTGAGTCACTGAGGTGGCCCATCAAGGCCCTGTCTCTGAAGGATGCCTTGCTGACCTGGGTGGATGGACATGCCACCTTCCAAGGTGCCACTATAGAGCAAGACACCAGGGGAAGTGCAGATTTGTCCTTGGTTTCTTGTAGTGGCATTTGAGGGGTGTCCACGTTTTGTGCTTTGATCAACATGTGGAGCCACTCCTGTGTCCAGAGGTTGCTGCCCTGGTCCCAGGCTAGATTCCATTGAGGTTGGTTTAATGTTTCTCTCCACTAATCCCCGTATCCCTTTCAGAGAACACCTTCAAACGCATTGGACCCCCGCTGGAGAAGCCCGTGGAGAAGGTGCAGAGGGTGGAGGCCCTCCCGAGGCCTGTTCCGCAGAACCTGCCACAGCCACAGATGCCGCCCTACGCCTTTGTGCACCCACCCTTCCCCCTGCCTCCCGTGCGACCTGTGTTCAACAACTTCCCTCTCAACATGGGGCCTATCCCAGCCCCGTACGTGCCCCCTCTGCCCAACGTGCGGGTCAACTATGACTTCGGTCCCGTCCACATGCCCCTAGAACACAACCTGCCCATGCACTTTGGCCCCCAGCCGCGGCATCGCTTCTGATGGCCCCGAACCCCCATTGAGCAGCACAGAGCCCTTTTGGGGTGGGAGTGTGTATGGAGAACCCTCCCCCACCCCTCCCCCAAGGCTGGTGGCTGTGCCATTGCATCTTAGATCAGGTTGAAGGGTAGGCTGGTTTTCTTCCCACCCCTTTCCCAGAAGGGCCACTGCTCCCAGAAGAGTGGTCACAGCTGGTGGGCCTCTGGGGGCCTGCATGGGATTGGTCTGGCTCCCACTGGGCAGAGTTAAAAGGGCCTTGAGGCCCTTCCGGAAGAGTTCTGCCATCCTAGCAGGCAGCATGGTGGCCCTGGCTGCTGTGTCACTCCAGTCCCTACAGAAAGAGACCAAGAGGAAATATTTTGCCTGCATTCATTTTTACCCCTAGCAAACACCAGGGAAAAACCTCTCAGAATTAAAACCACATGAGCCTTCCTTACATAGCACAGACAGATCCATAATAAAAATGAAGTCCCAAATGGTGGAGTTCAGAGACAGCTGCGATGTGAACTGCTCCTCCCCTCCCATCCCCCCAGGCCACCATTGGCAGCCCTTCTGCCTTGTCCATGGCATAGGCCCTTGCTACTCACACCTGGGCCTCCTCGGAGTGGACCCCTGGGGAGCAAGGCTGCCGGGAGCATTTCCCTGGAGGGGCCCACAGTTGGGCAGAGGGGGCTGCACCTGCAGGCCCGGGAAGCATTGCTCAGGGTGGGGGGCCGGGACCATGGCCCACAGAGGCACTGCCACCACCGTGAGGGCCAAGATGCTGTCCCCCTATCTAGAACCCGTGCACCACTGCAGTGAGTGTTGAGGGAACCTGTTCTCTCCGCTCTTAGACCTACTCAGATGAGGAAGCAGCAGACCCTTCTCGCGGCAGGGGTTTTGCTCTGTTGCCGTCTGTCTCACCCTCAGTCTCTGGAAAGTCAGACTGAGAAATCCTTTCCCAGGCCAGGCCGCTGCAGTGCACTGGATGGTTCTGAAGCTGGCCCATCGAAAGAGCCTTGAGATAGCTAAGATAGAGGCCTGGTGGCCCTGCCAGGCAGCCCAACTGCTAAGGGAGACATTTGTGCTACCCTGGGTGATAAGCTGATAAGCAGCTTTTCCTCTCTGGCTTTTTGGGGGAGGAGTGGGCCTCCTGAGGGAGACAGGTGACCCTGGGTGCTGCCCCTGCGCTGTGTGTTCCCCTGGGTGTTCTCAGTGGTTGGTGAAGGCAGGTAGAGGGTGCTGTCTTTTACCTCCCATGTGAGGGCCACCTCCCTTCTCATGGGGTCAGCTGAGCATCAGCTCGGCCCTGCCACGTCCCCACTTGCCCTCCTCGCCTCCTGTCCGGCCCCAGGTTTCTAGCCATGCCCGAGGCATCACTGTGGCCCATTGGCAGATGAGAGGCCTGAAACCTTCCTGGCTACAGGCATCACTTTCTCCTCCCCATGGCCTGCGTTGTCATGTTACCATGAGGTTCCGAGAGGTTTGGAGTTCACAGACCTCAGACACAGCTGAGCCTGACAACCATTGGGGTGGGGCTGTTTCAGCCTCCGGAGTGGCCTGCCACCTCCTGTATCAGGGCCTGGCCCACCCGAGGTGGCTAGGGCAGGCAGGCACTGTCATTTGCTGCCATTGGCTTCTCAGATGTATTTCAGGGACTAAAGTGGGTTTAAAAAGATCTAAGATGGCCCAGTGCGGTGGCTCCTGCCTGTAATCCCAGCACTTGGGGAGGCCAAGGTGGGCGGATCACCAGAGGTCGGGAGTTCGAGACCCCGTCTCTACTAAAAATACAAAATTAGCTGGATGAGGTGGTGCATGCCTGTAATCCCAGCTACTCAGGAGGCTGAGGCAGGAGAATCAAACCTAGGAGGCAGAGGTTGCAGTGAGCCAAGATTGCGCCATTGCACTCCAGCCTGAGCAACAAGAGCAAAACTGTCTCTCAAAAAAAAAAAAAAATCTAAGATACCCATTCTTTCTGCCTTTGCCCAGGATGGAGGCTTTGAAGACAGGTGGTCACCTGGGCATGGGATAAGGGTGCGTGGGGGGGCCGGGCTTGGGGGCAGCCTGCTGCTATGTCCTTGCGCCCCTACCTGTTGGGCTGCCTGAATTTTGTTACCAGCCTGAACGACAGTGCCTTGGAAAGGTGGGCTCCACGCGGCAGCAGCAGTATTGTCTTCAGTACCTTAAATATGCTCCCTGTGCTTTCCCAGGGAGGATCTCTGGGAGCAGAGGGCAGTTGTAGACATGCCAGCTGAAGAGGAGGTGACCTCAGGCCCAGGGAGCCTCAGCTCCCTCTGCCCTGCACCCTAGGCACGTGGCTCCAGCAAGGGGCCCATGCAGGACAAAGGGAGCAGGCAGCAGCTGCGGAAACAGCCCTAGACAGGTGCTGGCCTCAACCCTGGCAGGGGAGGGGGAGCCCAGAGTGATGTTTCTCCTAAGGCCAAACCCCAAGGGCGGGTCATTTGAGAGGAGTTCCAGCTGTTTCTGGCCACACTGGGGTGGTGAGGAAGGAGCTGCTGCCTTTTTCCTTGGAGGGTCCCTGATTCCTGAGGATCCTCCCTGAGCCAGGCACAGGGGACCGCAGGGCTGCTGTGAGCACCCACCTTGGCTCTCCAGGCCCGTCTGTCCAGAGGCAGGGCCTGGACCTTGGGCTCCTGCCTGGACCAGGGACGGGAGAAAAGCACTGGGTGTCTTCTGAGCAGCCAGCAGGAGGTTGTGCCGGTGCCCAGAGAGCAGGTCAGACCACAGGCAACCCTGAGGCAACTGGCACCTCCTCTCTTCCCCTGCAGGGCTTGCCCCAGGGCACAAGGCTCCCCAGCCACAGCCCCCTCTTACTTGCCTTAAAACTGGAGAGAGGAATCTAGTATTTGCACTTAGCAAAATATTTAAAAACTGAAAAAAATGCATGATCTGTCACTTTGTATAAAAATAGAAAAAACAAACTTTTTCTTTACCTTCTGGTAGTAAAAATAGATAAAATAATTCCGTTTCAACTACTGTGTGTAAAAAGCCTGTATCATATGTAACTGGGACTTTTTGTAAATAAATGTTTGTGCGCTCTGCTCCCTCTGGTTTCATCTCTCCACACTGCCATCCGGCAAGTTACAGGGGCAGCTGACAGATTTGTCCAAGTGATTCGATCTAAACCAGCATCCGCACCTTCATGACTGGGTCCTGGCAGGATCAGGCCCGAAAGGCCCAGTAGTAGAATCCCCCACCACTTGCTGCGAGGGAGGAAGATCAGGTGGTCTTCCTGCTAGGCAAATCCCGCTAGGGCGGCTACCAAGGCCCAGATTGGGCACAAAGGGTCTATTTGTTTTTGGCACAGAATCCCCTTCAAGAAAAGGGCAGTCAGTTTCTTTTGCAGGCCCCTTTCCCAGTCTCTGCCCACCTAAAGGTCAGGTAAACCAGGAGAAGCCTCACCCAGCTGAGGAAGGGACAAGGTTCCAAGAACAGGAGGTGCCTGGGCTGAGAGGCCATGGTGACATGCTGCAGTGCCAGGGCCCTGCTACCCTTGCTGTTGGCACAGCCTCTTACCCTCCAGAGTCCTTCCTGCCATGTACCAGGCCAGGCAGGAATCTGGACCCTAGATCTGAAGGGGGCCCTGGGCACAGGGGAAGCTGTGACCTCCAAATGCAAATGGACCACAGCTCGCTTTAATAAAACATGGGGTCTCCTGCCATATGCAACTTTCTATAGAACAATCACCTGTTTTTCGCATGTCTGAGAAAAAGTATACTAAAAGCTTCAAGAGAAAAGTTACATCCCCCAAAAGTTACCCATATTTCCAGCTTCTAAACAATGCGTTTTTCGTTTTTTCTGAAACGGAGTCTCGCTCTGTCACCCAGGCTGGAATGGAGTGGTGTGATCTCGGCTCACTGCAACCTCTGCCTACCAGGTGATTCTCCTGCCTCAGCCTCCTGAGTAGCTGGGATTACAGGCATCTGCCACCACCCCGGGCTAATTTTTTTGTATTTTTAATAGACACGGGGTTTCACCATGTTGGCAAGGCTGGTCTCGAACTCCTGACCTCAGGTGATCTGAGCACCTTGGCCTCCCAAAGTGCTAGGATTACAGGCGTGAGCCACCACACCGGACCCAATTCATGTTTATTTTTAATTTGTTCATGGCATGCAGTCATTGTTCCTGTTCCTCCTCCATATTTGCAACAACAACATAAAATTTTCTGCAATTTCAGTAAATAAATAAAAGCTATGTATCTGTTCTGCTGCTATCCTTTTTCCATCCAAAGTGACCAGGGTGGTGGTATTCGTCCCACCTTCCCCAGGCGCTGGCCAACACGTTGCAACACGCCTGATCAGGACTTGGGGGCCTTTGGTTTTAAAGAAGTTAGTACCTTGCTTTTCTTGCTTTTCTCCCTTAACGGTCATGGACTGGCCTCCAGGTCTATAGCTCTGTCTGCATCCAATTTGTTCTTTTTATGTCTTCCTTTTTTTTTTTTTTTTTTTTTGAGACAGAGTCTTGCTCTGTTGGCCAGGGTGGAGTGCAGGGGCACAATCTTGGTTCACTGCAACCTCCACCTCCCAGGTTCAAGCGATCCTCCTGCCTCAGTCTCCCGAGTAGCTGGGTTTACAGGCATGTACCACCACACCTGGCTAATTTTTTGTATCTTTAGTAGAGACGGGGTTTCACCATGTTGGCCAAGCTGGTCTCAAATTTCTGACCTTGTGATCTGCCCGCCTTGGCCTCCCAAAGTGCTGGGATTACAGGCGTGAGCCACTGCACCCGGCCAGTTTTCATATTTTTAGTAGAGACGGGATTTCACCTCGTTGGCCAGGCTGGTCTTGAACCCCTGACTTGACCTCTCAAAGTGCTGGGATTATAGGTGTAAGCCACCGCACCTGGCCTACTTTTTTCTGTCTTTCTGAGACGAGATCTCACTGTCTTAGAAAAAGATCTAAGACTGCATTCCCAGGCTATAGTGCAGAGTGCAGTCATGGCTCACTGCAGCCTCAACCTCCCAGGCTCAAGCAATCACACCTCAGCCTCCCAAGTAGCTGGGACTACAGGCATGGGCCACCATGCCCAGCTAATTTTTGTATTTTTTGTAAAGGGGTCTCAATGGCCGGGCAAGGTGGCTCACTCCTGTAATCCTAGCACTTTGGGAGGCCGAGGTAGGTGGATCACCTGAGGTCAGGATTTCAAGACCAGCCTGGCCAACATGGTGAAACCCCATCTCTACTAAAATACAAAAATTATCTGAGCATGATGGCGGGTACCTGTAATCCCAGCTACTCAGGAGGTTGAGGCAGGAGAATCACTTGAACCCAGGAGACGGTTGTTTCAGTGAGGTGAGATCGCACCACTGCACTCTAGCCCGGGCAGCTAAGCAAGACTCCGTCTCAAAAAATAAAAAACAAATAAAGGGGGTTCTCACCATTTACCCAGGCTGGTCTTGAACTCTTGGGCTCAAGCAATTGGTCCACCCCAACCTCCCAAAAGTGCTTGGATTACAGGTGTGAGCCACCGGACCCAGCCTCCTTTATTTCTCCATCCTTAAAAAGTATCTTTTTCGGCTGGGCATGGTGACTCACGCCTGCAAACCCAGTACTTTGGAGGTCAAGGCGGGTAGATAACGAGGTCGGGAGTTCAAGACCATCCTGGCCAAGATGGTGAAACCCTGTCTCTACTAAAAATACAAAATTTAGCTGGGCATGGTGGCAGGTGCCTGTAATCCCAGCTCCTCAGGAGGCTGAGGCAGGGAACTGCTTGAACCCAGAAGGTGGAGGTTGCAGTGAGCCAAGATCATGCCACTGCATTCCAACCTGGGTGACAGAGTGAGACTCTGTCTCGAAAAGAAAAAAAAAAAGTAAAAATGTCTTTAAAAATACGTTTGCCAGCCGGTCGCAGTGGCTCATGCCTATAATCCCAGCAGTTTGGGAGGCCGAGGCGGGCAGATCGCCTGAGGCCAGGAGTTTGAGACCAGCCTGACCAACATGGTATAAACCCCGTCTTTAAAAAAATATAAAAATTACCCGGGCATGGTAGCGGGTGCCTGTAATCCCAGCTACTTGGGAGGCTGAGGCGGGAGAATCACTTGAACCCAAGAGGCAGAGGTTGCAGTGAGCTGAGATCACGCCATTGTACTCCAGCCTGGGCGACAGAGCGAGACTCCCTCTAAAAACAAAATATGTTTGCCAATCAAAAGTGTACAAAAAATAGAAAATGTATGTGCAAAGTAGGAAAATCTTGAAAACAAAAATATAAAGCAAAAATAGACATGCTCTGTAACCCAAAGATAACTGCTGATCACATCTCAATGTATTTCTGCATGGTGTGACCTTTTTCTGTGATATATACAGTATTTATGAAACCAGTGAACCAGACATGAAGGTTTCCTTTTTTTTTTTTTTTTTAATTGAGATGGAGTCTCACTGTGCCACCCAGGCTGGAGTGCAGTGGTGCGATCTCGGCTCACTGCAAACTCCGCCTCCTGGGTTCAGGTTCACACTGTTCTCCTGCCTCAGCCTCCCGAGTAGCTGGGACTACAGGTGCCCGCCACCACGCCCAGCTAATATTTTGTATTTTTAGTAGAGACGGGGTTTCACCGTGTTAGCTAGGATGGTCTCGATCTCCTGACCTCATGATCCACCCACCTCAGCCGCCCAAAGTGCTGGGATTACAGGCGTGAGCCACCGCGCCCAGACGACATGAAGGTTTTCATTCTGTTTTTCTTTTGCTTTCTGGAGCATTTACAAGACAGGAGCAAGTGCTTCTGAAAGAGGCTGTTTAATTAGCTCTTTGCCTTTGAGAACCTCTCACAGCAGGTTCCATCTGCCTTCTCTTTGAATTTCTTGCAGTCATCTAGGCCGGTGTGAAGCTGACGCAGGCCAGGCCTCCAGTCCTGTTCTCAGGACCCCTGGGGGGGACGTGGTCACTTCTACAGTCCCCGGCTGTGTGTGCCTCTTGGTCAGGATGAAGTCTGATCATCAGTTCCACTCGTCGCCTCCTGTCCCTTCATCCACACATATGTCTGGCGGAGATGGCCCAGGACTGACTTCTGGTTTTCTTCTCCTCAGGAGTTAAACCCGCAGGAGAGGGACTTGGGTGAGCACCGGCTTCTGGGTCAGGCCCCATGCTCCCCATCTTGCTGGGTGTCACCCGAGGGGGGGTGGCGAGAGCTCTGGCAGCGGCATGGCACGCCTGGGCCTGGCGTTGGCCGTGAAGTGGGAATCGCCGCAGCATCTTCTTCCTCGGGCTGTGAGAATTGGCGGGGGGAGACAGGAAAAGTGCTTGGCCAAGGATGGCAGGGAGGGCACAGCGGCCGTGATGGTGGTGGTTGTGCCGTCCCACAGAGCTGTGCTGTCTCTTCCCACGTTTTCAGTGACTCCTTGGGGATAAAAGCCTAATCCTTTAACCAGACCAACCTCTCAGGGTCATCTGAGACTGTCAACTCCACCTGGGACCCCGGGGAGCACCTAGTCCACACCTGCACCTGGCAGGTGCCTGTGTGCCGGGCTGCTCACCTGTGCACGTGCCCTGAGCGCACCTGGGTGCGGACCTGGATGGCACTGCTTAGCTGGGCAGTCCCAGGGCACTCGGCCCCTAGTAGGTGCCACAGAGAAACCAGCACCAGGTGGCAGGGAACAGGCTGAGTCAGTGGAGGGGACCCACTGGGGTGGCCCAGGAGGCTGGGAAGGCTTCCAGGAGAATCCCCGCCTGCCTCTCATCCTCACTGCCTGACCCTTGTCCAAGTACAGACCCCAGGGCCAGGGGTGCTGACTGGCCAGTTCCAGGTGTTCCTGAGAACCAGATCTTCAGTCAGCTCCTGGGGACGCGGTCACGCTTTGACCTTGGCGGAGACTTCCGCAAGGGCAGGAGTCCTGGAGGACGCTGCCAAGTGGCCTCTGGGTGAGAGGGGACAGTTGGGGGTACATCTAAGAGAGGCTGAGAAGACAGTCCAAGGAGACTGGGCGCTAATGGGTGTCCACGAAGAGGGGGAGTCCACAGGGATGGCCAGGCCCTGTCCTGGGAGCTGAAGGAAGCGGTCCCAGGGGCACTTCGGGGCAGGGGTGGGGAGGCCGTGGCATCACGGGGTGGGGC